TAGGGGTGATAGTCTCTCCTTGATAGGTATAGTATTACCTTTAACAAACTGAATGTCGAAGAAGTTTCCAGCGGCACCTGAATCCATCAGGGCTTTACATGAAAAGTTATTCTTTTCAAAGGCAATAGATATATCAAGGAGAAACCAATTTTTATTCATTCCAGAGGATGTTTCCATTACACCTAAGACTAGTCACCTTAAGGTGCGGTAGTTTTCCGGACGTATGGGACAATTGTTTCTCATATGTCCTTTTCTACCGCAGTATAGACATAGGCTTTCTTTTCTCCTATATTGTCTTTCTTCTTCCTACAGTCTAGTGACCCCCAACTGCATGGGTTCGGGTTCGGACTGTACAGGAAATTCAGGGACAATTTTGGAGAAGTGGGGTGCTAAAGGCATATTCATGTGTCTGGTCTTGTTTCTAGTAGCTTCTCTCGTTCTCAATCTATTATCAATTTGCATGACAAAAGTGATAAATTCATTAAGCTTTTTGGGTAAGTCTTTGGCGGCAATCTCATCTTGCATAGTTTCAGATAGTCCCTTTTTAAATGCAGAGATTAACAAACTATTAGTCCAGTCTACATTGGAAGCTAGGGTATAAAATTCTATGGCATAATCAGTTATAGACCAGTTCCCTTGTCTGATATGCATCAGTGCAGTAGCCGGCATCTTCCTACCTGCCCAATGTTTCAAACGTAAGTTTAAATTCCATAATAAACTCCTGGTAATTGTGTGCCACACTCCTATTACTCTCCCATAATGGATTGGCCCAAGCTAAAGCTTTACCTTTTAATTGATTCATCAGGTAACCAATTTTAGCTCTGTCTGTGGGAAAAGATCCTGGTGAGGCCTCAAAATGATACTCTATTTGGTTAAGGAATCCCCGGCATTCTTGGAAATTACCATCAAAATGCAGAGGAGGAGATAGAGAGATAGTGGGTGCCTTGTATACTATAGGCAGAGGTACACAATGCAGAGGTGAGACAGTAGGAGCAGCCGCAGGTTGCAGATGCGCTGTATGGGTAAGAAGCGTACTGAAGGACTGGGCAAATTGATCCATGCGGTGATAATTCTTCTCTAGTTTCCTTTCGCAAGCAGCTATGTGCTTACACAATTCTATAGGATCTATGGCCCTGTCATGGTGTCAGGATTACAGAATGATCCAGCACGTAGAATTATGTAACACAGAGGACTGATAGGTAATGTATACCGGACCTTAGAATGGTCGGACTAACGTACCAAAGAATAGTCAGGAATAGCCAAGGTCAAGGGATACCGAAAGAAACACAACGATAAGAAAAAAGCCAGGAGTCAGGGATGCCAGAAAACAGGGCAGTCAAAAACAATGCCAAAGTCAAATAACCAGAATTACCAGAATCAATAACACGCTCTCGGACAACCACAAGGGAAACCACGACAGGGCACTGAGCAGGATGAGAACTGGGCCTAAATACCCCTCCTCTAGATCTGATAGTCTGTAACTCCAAAGGCAGTTACCAGGTTCACATTTGCATAATTGCTGCTCAGCATTAACCCTTCTGTGTATTTGGTTGCTGCTCGGCACAACTTTACCCGTGTGGACAGTAAATGCCATTAACCACATTTTTATAAGCGGATGAATACGTGACAGCTCCTGCGTCTCGGCGGGGACATGCACCCCCAAAGGTAACCTGGTAGCCTGGTTCTATAACCCCCTAGCACTGCACTAGCCTGCGCTCTAGCACCCTGCGCCTGCGTCCCCCCCGGCAATTTTTCTAACACTGCACGCAGCAAGCTTAATACCTCACTAGAGCTGCCCTGTTCCCCTGACAACTCGCCCCAAGCGCTAGCGCATGACAACTCACCCCTGGATAAATGAGCAGCTGGCAATGGAACAACAGGTAGGATTGCCTCTTCCTCACCCCTGGAAGGCTGACCAGCTGGCACACAAACAGCAGGAACGGCGTCCTCTTCATTAGACTCTGACCCAAAGTTCGCATCAGGCTCTCCCAGAAAGGTGTTGTTATCCTGGAGCTCCTGCCCGCATCCGGCAGAGTTCCTGATGTGGAGTTGCCTCTTCCGGGGTTTACGATCCGCTGGAGAGGTTGTGGAGGCGGGGCTTGTGACCTGGCACTTCCTGGACGTGCCCGCGTCACGTACACGCCCCGTGGCACTGCGTCCGACGTCATCATTCTGTGTCCGTGTGTCCGGCGTGGTGACGTCACTTCCGGCTGGGCCAGAAGAGACGGCGGGCTTCATGAATGTGACGCCTTGCCACCATCTTGGGACCTCACCTCAGGAGCCTGTTTGGAGCGCCCACTCCTCCTGTTCGCCCGGGGGACCTCTGAAGCCTCTGGAACAGCGGGCATCCCGGATGGACTAGCTTCCACTCTCCGCTCTCGGCGCCCGGTAGCACTCCTAAGCACCGGACTGGGGGATAACCGCATGGGAGGCCTTGACCTCCTGGCCCTCCGACCGTCTGCAGGGGGATCAACCGCCATCCTAACCGAAACTGCAGCAAAAGCCAGAGACCTTTGCTGTCCTTCTGGCCTCTGGTGAAACCCCTCCCATCTCTAAACATTCTAAAATATTATTGATTGAATATCAGTGCTGGATTGGGATTAATCTTGATATAATCAGACTCAAAATCATAACTATTGTGAATGTTGACAGACTGTAAATGTTTTCTGCAAGCATTAAAATCACATAGTAATATCCATAAAATAAATAAATGGTAGAATGCAAGGACATTGCTAGATTCCACTAGATCTACCACTACTAGATGTACCTTTAATTATCACCATATTTTGATTTAAGTAACCCCCTGGACTAAAAGGAAGGGAGGGCATGACTGCTGGCCAGCAGTAAGGGGGGTGGTGAAAGGGGATACAATGTTGCAAAAAGGGGGATAAAAGGATAACTGCGCTCTGCCCTGTTGCCAGCATTTTTACTGGGGTGACAGGTACATAGTCCTGCCTTGTAACAAGGGGGAAGCTAGGGCTGATGCCAGCTCTTCTTTTGGAAGGGTGGGTATGGTAATCCCATCCACTAACCCCAGGGCTCTGCTGGGAATTGGCTGGGGAAGGGAGAAAGCGCTTACCACCTCCTCCTGGTACCCCTGGGGGTTAAGTTGGGGTTCTGGACCGGCAGTCCCGCATCCCTGTAGATCCGGCACAGAGACCACGGTCCCATCTGTACCATTGGTATTAGGGGTGTTGCCCCCCTGTAGTTGGGGAGAAATACCAGCTGTCGCCTCTCCCTGAAAGATGCACTGCTGCTGGGGAGAGAAACCAATTGTCTCCTCTTCCTGTAGAATGCACTGCTGCTGGGGAGAGAGACCGGTTGTCTCCTCTCCCTGTGAGATGCACTACCGCTAAGGGGGAGAGACCGGTTGTTTCCTCTCCCTGTAGGATGCACTGCCACTAGGGAGAGAGACTGGTTGTCTCTTCTCAATGTGAGATGCACTGCCGCTGGAGAGAGAGACTGGTTATCTCCTCTCCCGGTAGGATTCACTGCCGCTGGGGAGAGAGATCGGTTGTCTCCTCTCTCTGTAACTCCAGCTGCCACTGGGGATGTGGGCCGGTAGAGAGACCTCGGTTCACCTGCCATTTGAGGTTCCTCCCAGCACCAGTCTATAAGGTCCCCCAGGATTTATTGCTAATTTAACTAATTCCCCTCTACACTGAAATGAGATGTTCAAAACTCACTTTGAGGTCATCTGTAATAAAGTCTGTGCAATAATTGACTCCACTGTATTCTAGATGTAACCACAAAAGACATTTCCATTGTTTTACATTGTTTCATTTATTTTCCTTGATTTTATGCCAGAGTGCTTGCAGTTTGTTTACTATGTATTCATGTTATTTGTTGTCTTGTGTAGATTATTTTTATTAATTTCTTTTAGTTTTGCTATAACCCTTCTTTCATCCCTTTGTTCTGGATTGCTGACTTGCTTGCATGGTCAGATCGTATTTCTTGTAACATTGGAGGAGTCTATGGTACAAGGGTTGTTAGGCATCATTAGTGTCCATGACTTAACTCACCATCCTTAATTCTAAGGTACTTAATTATTGCCCCCCAAAAAATATTTGGTAAAACACTCATTTAGAGATTTGTCTAAAAAATAAATAATACATTAATTAAAAAATATATATATAAAACAGAAAAATATTTACTAAACATTTTCCACCATTCCATTGACCGCTGACCATGATGGCCACATAGAATCAGAGCTCTGCACCCAAAGCTCAAAATATTCCCCTGTAATCAGCTCCAACACAAGCCAATTCCTGCATAAAGCCAAGCCACAGGACCATGCTCTGGTACAGATGTCCAGCCGCAAGCCTGCCAAAAAGAGCAACAAAGAAGCTCCATCATTGGCTAACATGCTTACCTCGCAGAGGCCTAACACATGTGGTGTGCCAGAGGACTCAAGTCCCAGCGGGAGGGAATCACCGAGCCCAGCCAGCTCGATTGACACCACAGATACTTCCTCGGACGCGTCCTCCAGCGCCATACTATATTCTTTGGCAAAAGTGAAAGGGTACCTAGTTGCTGAAATTGCATGCATGGCCGCAGAGGTGAAGGCCAAAATCTCCGCCATTGGGGATAACACCACAGCGATCGAGTGGCGCATGGTGCATGTGTCTCGGCTCATATTGGAGCCGCAACCCTCACCAACAAACTCCTATATAGAATCACAGATCTTGAGATCGAACTAGAAGACTAGAACAGATCAAGGCACAATAACATGCGCATTTGTGGCCTACCAGAATCGGTTGGAGAGGTGGAAATAGAATCTGCCCTTGTGAACTGCTTTTGCCAAAGTCTGCCAGATATTCCCGTACATCACTGGCTAGACGGCAGAGTCCACAGAGCCCCCAGGCCCAGAGGCCCGAAAATCAGCCCTCCTAGAGACGTTATGATGAAATGGCACTATTTCAAAAATAAGGAAGCCATCTTGAGACACAGTAGAACGCAGACCTACACATATGAAGGGACAGACCTACAACTCTGCCAAGATGTCGCTGCGAATAAAAGGTCTCCATTTTGCATGGGGCTACCTGTTCAAGATCCTGGTGTTCAACGGCCTTGCGGTGCTTCTGCCGTCTATGGACATACCCATGTTCCTGAAAGATCTGAATATCGAAGTCCCCAACGATATGCACCTTCTGTCCAGTAATATAGAGACACTTGCACCTTTGCCGGCAGACTGGGAAGACTGAAACCTCTGACTGGCCTGAGCTGCAGACCGCTGTTGAAAGGCCTGTGGACCATGCCGCATGCAAGATATCTTATAATCCTATAATGTTATGGTTAAACGATTGCCATTTTGGGGTTAAGTTGTTGGAAATTAACCAGGGTTGAGTTAATGTTGTTATGGACACAGGGGGAGTAGAAATGCAGACCTTGTCTGCAAAGACACGAACAGGGTTTTTGAGTGAAGCCAGTGGGATGGCGCAGGCCATACCTAGACTACCCCACCCCTGCCACTGTAAACTTGGACAAGACTGCCTTGCTGGCGCATGGTCCGTTCCTGGCATTGGAATGCCCAGACACCTAAGATCATAGGCTGCTCCTCTATAGGTGTACTTAGTGACTCCCAGGTCCCCATATGTCCCACTGGGTTAGATACCTTGCACCCCACAGTTCCGGACAAGTCCACATTACAGGACAGGTAGGGTTGTGTTCAATCAATATGAGCTTTGACGGGGTGCTAGATGGCTGAGCTTCACTCAAGATGTGGTGGACGCCCACCCCCATAGATCCTGGTGACTTATAAGACCCAGAAACAGAAGACTTACAAAATTGTACATTTATTGAAGTTACTTTGATGACGAACATTGTACTAACTACAATCCCTTTTTTTTCTACGCCTACCTTTTTCTCTCTTGCTCTTTCCCCCCCCTGCTCTTCCCTTTCCTATCTCCCTCTATGCTCCCCTCCCCCCATCCTTGAAAGAGACGCTACCATTCAAAGTCTGCAGCAGGGGTGGATGACACTGGTCCCACTTAAAGCACACTGTGAGTGGAGCGTCCGACCCGCACTGGGTAAGCCTACTGACACACCACACAACACCAAAACATGGAGCTTAGACTGACATCACTCAATGTGAATGGACTGAACATTCCCAATAAACACAGACTCCTGTTCAGAGATTAGGTGCCACAAAGCAGAAATAACCTTTATTCAAGACTCTCACATCCCACACAGCTCAAGGACACAACTCACAGACCATATCTACACAAGAGCATATGCATCTAGAGCACTGTGTTAAAAAAAAAAAAAAGGGGTAAAAATTCTAATTCACAAGCGGTGCCCTATCCAAATCATGGGAGTTCAGACAGACACTCAAGTATGGTACGTGTTCCTGACAGGTACTCTCAACTCCAACACCTACCACCTATTTAATGTATATGCACCACATACTCCTAACAAAATGTTCTGGACAGAGCTAGAAATCCTGACAAAAACTTTCCCTAGAGGGATCTTAATACTAAGAGGTGACATGAACGTGACGCCATGCCCAGCAACTGACCATGGAGGGGGACAACACCTGCCCCATTCACAAAATAGGGGGGGACAAGACAAACTTTTAAACAGGTTCATACACAACACAGGATTGTTGGACGCATGGAGGAACCAGCACCTAGGTGCAAGGGACTATACATTCTATTCGGCCGCACATGCCTCCTATTCATGCATTGACCTTTTTCTCACTAATCAGTTGGGTATGCAGTGGATTAAAACTTCCGCGATTAATCTTATCTCATGGTCGGACCATGCAGATATTGAAATCGCCATGAAAATCCCTGGTACCCATGTGCCATGGAAGTGAAGAATGAATGCCTTCCTTCTCAGAGACACACAGATAAAGGACATAATTAAACAGGAGATTACAAAATATTTCCAGACCAATGACACTCCCGACATATCCCCAGCAACGCTATGGACAGCACACAAGACTGTAATACGGGGGTTGCTCATAAAAATAGCAACCCAACAAAAAAAGAAAAAATACAACAGACTGACCGAACTGAAAAAAACTACAAAAAACTAAATGCAACATAAGCAGACAGTAACCCAAACCATGACCATGTAACCGAGGGAAATTAGGCGACTGATCAGGGAATTGATGATAGAAGACGTGAGCAGAGGCATAATCTGAGCAAAAAGACTGTTCTATGAAAAGTCCAATAAAATGGACACACTCCTTGCAAGGGCCCTTAGACCCCAAAACAACACATCTTTGATAACTGCCATAAAAAAACCCAGGGAGCGATCCTTAATAACCCTCAAGATATAAATGCAGAATTCACATGATTCTTTTCCACAGTATATAGCCACTCTCCCACATTGACCGGAGACAACAGCACTGACGCAGCAACTGTAGCTGCCTTCCTATACAAGGCCTAACTCTGACTGTACCCCTGGGTGCACCTATCGAATTAGATGAAGTTCAATGAGCCATAACATAAGGCTAAATGAGAACAAGGCCCCAGGACCCGACGAGTTTGACGGCACCTATTGCAAGGCTGTTAGGGAAGACCTAACACTCCACCTGGCCCAAATGTATAAACAGTGAATGGAGGGGGGGGTTGCCGATCCCACACCTTTCGATGGCATACATAACCCTTTTCCCCAAGCCGGGCAGAGATAGTACAAATGTAGCTGCCCCATATCCCTTATAAATTTTGATCTGAAAGCTAAACTATTGGACACCCGTTTGAATCCCCTCCTCGCCAAATGCACCCACGCAGACCATGTTGGCTTTGTCCCCATGAGACAACTATATGAACATACCTGATGAGCAGCCAATTTAATATTGTGGGCTGAGAGATCTTGAACGCCTTCTCTGGTCCTTTCCCTGAATGCAGGGAATGGCAGAGTCCAATGGCACTATACATTCACGCTCTTGCATACGATGCACTTGCCAGCTGCCTTTGTCACGGCAGTATGAGCCCTATAAGCCAATCCCAAAACACAGACAATAATACCTGATGCAACCCCACAACCTTTTGAGCTAAAAAAATGGCACGCACCAGGGATGCCCCTTGTCCCCTCTCCTGTTCATACTGGCCCTAGAGCCCTTATTAAACCTAATCAGAGCAAACCCACGAATTAAAGGAATAAAAGTGGTATCGGAGGAATTTCAAGTATCTGCATATGCGGACGACGTCTTACTCACCCTCACTGACGCAAAAGATTCAGTCCTTTGTTTCCTTGACCTGTTGGAAACATACAAGCAGGTTTTGGGATATAAAATTAATATTGATAAGTCAGTATGTATGCTCCTAAAAGAGACGGACCTTACATGGTTAGGACAAACGACTGAACTGAAAATTAGCCTGCAGCCCATTAAATACCTGGGTGTCAAACTGACGTCGAACCCAGACAACTTATATGCTGAAAACAACCTGAGCATCATAAACACCTTACTAAAAGACTTAGATACATGGCACGAGAAACCCATCTCGTGGATAGGGCGACTACACAGTATAAAAATGAACCTCATGCCGTGCTTCCTGTTCCTTTTTGAGGCATTACCAATAAAAGTAACTAAGGAGGACTTGAAAATGCTACAGACAGCGATAGATGACTTCATCTGGGCTCGAAAGAGGCATAGAATAGCGAGGTAAAACTTATATACCCCCTTATATACTACTTGTTGGCTCAATTGGCGCAAATAGTGAAATGGCACTTGTAACGACACACCCAGGCATAAAAGGGGTTAACAGCCGTTTAGGAGATATTCCCTTCCAGATATACAGGCAGCAACTGTAGACACCAATCCACCGAACTGGAGAAGCATATGAATGCTCTCAAACATACGAATGCTGTAAACAGTTGAATAGATAAAACCATACGAAAGATTTACACTCCTAGCAGTTGGACTGGAACAGCATACAACAAATCCCCCTAAGAACGAGACAAGGTTCCGTTTTGAGGGTCAAGCAGGAACAGACTGAGCTGTGTCTTTATTGGCCTTATATACACATTTTACAGACAAAGTCCCACCCACAGGGTTTTGTGGAACATCCAATCAAAACATACAACACAGATGAACACTCCCACCATGATATCACAATCCCTCCTCTCTATCCTGGAGATAATTGGGAAGTAATCCATTATCTCCAAGGACAGAGGCAAAACTCCATTAAGCACATGGCAGTAAAAAGACAGTAAAATACAATAAAATACACAAGGTTACATTTATTACATAAAATACAGACATGCAACATATCCCCAGATAGCTTAGGTTTGAGCGCACATTATTACTGAATGGCGCTCAGACCACACACATACAGTTCAATTGCCATGGAGCCAAAGTCTTTTATTACACGAATAGGCTCCATGGCATAGCTATCTGGGTTAAATAAGTTAATTCAGTAAATCTGTGAATGAACCGGCCGCGTGTGAACTGCAGAGTGATGCCATCCAGTGTTCAGTATGCGTAGCCACGGCCACCCGGTATAGTCAATTAAGCTGCGGTCAACCGCAGCTACTGGGCGGTCAATTGGCAGCACTCGATGGCTTCTGGACGGCCAATTAACGGTGCCTGCCAGCTAACCGCGGCTCTTTGGAGGCCAATAGATGGCTGTTTGTTCGGTAGATAGAATCTACCGAACACCCGGGCAGAAATACATTAATAGACCTTTTTGCATAGGAAAATAAAGTATTTGAATGCCGGTCCATAGTCAAAATGCAGCAGGCAGGCAGGCAACCAGGCTCCTAAAATACACAGTGGCGAGATTGGTCTCATCACAGCACTCGCCACTCATGAGTACAGATCTCCCCCAGTTCTGGATTTGGATTCCCAAAGCGGATAGACCAGAGCTCCGCACGAGCTGCCCAGCAATTTGAAACTCAATCAAGATATGGGACTCCACGGCCCACAAATATTCACTTTCAAACCCACTATTGTCACTAACGCCATACCTTTGAAGTAAAGCATTTAGACCTGGGTAGACTGCCAGAGACTTAAGGGGTATCAAAAATACAGGCATACAACGCTACTACCACCTATACCAAGCAGAAACATTTAGAACCTTCAATGACTTAAAAACCCTAGCCCCACTGACTGCTAAAGACCACTTTAGGTACATCCAACGAAGAGACTTCACCAGACGTCCCCAAGTGAGGGTCTTTTATGAAAAACTGTGCATGTCAGAGGGACCACGTACCGGCCTCGTCACACTTCTCTGCACACAATTAAGCGAACCGGACAGGGATGCCCAAACACCTATGTACGTCTTACAATGGGAGACGGAACTGCATCAGACATTAGAGAGTGGGGACTGGCAAGACACCTGTGAGGCAGCAGCAAATGCTTCCATCTGCGTAATACACCAAGAACAATGCTACAAAACACTCATGAGATGGTACACCACACTGGTCAAACAATATAGAATGGGCAAAACACCCACAGATACATATTATTATTATTATTATTTTATCATTTATATAGTGCCATCAGATTCCGTGTTGGAGGGGATGTGGGGAAAAGGGAACATACATACACATGTGGTGGACATGTCCAAAAGCGGTGTGATTCTGGGACAGCATAGGCCAACTTCTAACAGAGATCTTACACAGACCAATGGAGCCGGATCCTTGTACTTTCCTTACAGCAAAACTGTGCTATCACTGGGATTTGGAGAGGCCTGCTTGCCAGCCTCTTGCCCCTGGGATATATTGCCCTTTAAAAACACTATTTGGGCATATTGGATTTTAAAGGCACTGTTTGTGCCCCTTGGACTTTTAACTGGAACAGATTCAAATATGTGGCGGTGGCCATCTTAAATTGTCCAGCAGTGTTTTGCCGTCGAGTGTATGGAACTGTTTTGGGCATGGGACCATGTGCACGGTGGGACAAAAATAAGACTTCCAGGAAGGAAATTCCTGAACCCCTGAACTGATCTGGGTGATTTTTGGATATGTTGTTCACCCAGATTGGGGCTCTCATTGCTGTAGGGATATGTTGTATTTTGGGGTACTTTTTGGGGTTTGTAAAAATTTATGTTTTTTCTGCTTAGAGTTAATTGAGTTAGTCCATTGTCTTACAGGCAGTGCGTGTGTGCTGTATTTGGGCGTGTCGGACATTGTTGTATTGTTCTGAATGGTTTGTGTCCTTTGTGTGCCTGTATTCCATCAGGTCTAGGGGTTGTGCCTCTGGCCTGAGGAATTGTATAAATTGTGCTGGCTTGGATTAAACAGACCTGTTCTACCCTTCATCAAGTCTTGACTCATGTTTGGGGGATTGGAGAACTACACTCTGGGGATTGCTATAATCACTATACTCCCCAGAGTATAATCACTAGCTCTTGTAAGTGCTGTTCCTGTTCCTGTTTTGCTCTCTGGACTAAGGAGAGGTACACCCACTGTAAGTTGGAGCCCGGTTTTGGGTCCAGGGTGGGCGGAGGATGGCAAAACCCCAACCAAGCTGCGGCGGTTCATGAGGTTTACAGTGGTTATGGTGTTGAGTGCGGTGCTGATGGTCCTTGGCGAGTACTAGGAGCATCCTTTGACTGAGGCACTCAGTCGGGGTGGCAGGCGTTCTGTCACAAAAACTAATAGACGGCCTAACTATCAGAGAACAAAAACTTTTAAACAAAAAGAGAGCAATGGCACAGACGTGGACATGCAACAGATGGATAGGGTCACTCGCAACATTAAAGAGGCACATCTCATGGACAAACTCACAGCCCAAGTACGAGACACATATCCCCTATTTCTTAAAGTCTGGGAGCCTTGAGAGGACTACACTAACCGCTGAGAGGTTTGGCAACACAGAGACATAGCTGAAGATGGAAACTCATGTCTTCCATCCCATTCCTAGGTGTTTTCCCTCTTTTTCTGCTTTCCCCCTCTTTCTCACTCTGTCTGACTCTACCTTCTTCTATATAAAATATTAAATATTGTTCATGCATGCACAGGGTGCACATGAGTTAGTTTAGTGTAATGGAGCACAACAAGCAGACCCAGTGTAAACTCGCATGCAGCTATACACTGAGGGCTAAGCGCTAACTCACCCTCGATATAGCGCAACTATCGCACCTTTTATTACAAATGATGTATGTTAAATAGACCAGCTCACTCAGTGTATACACAGGTTGTTTACCATTACTGTGAAACCTGTTCAACGTGTATTTCCATGTGCTTTATTGTACACAATGCTAATTGATTACTCTGCCTTTTGTCACAGTCACTTGATATGCATGACTTGATAAATAAAGAATTAAAAAAGGAAAAGAAAACACCTTCCTAAAACATTTTAAGGCTTCTGCATGGGACAGCTTTCTTTAAGTACCGCTAGTGAGGTTAAAAACTTTATAATGATGACCCTTTTAAATAGTTTTTAGTTATTTTTGTTGGCATAAAAGAATAGATTGAGCCCACTTTAAACAATCCTTAATTATTATATGTATCTTTTGAAGACACCAAAAATCAACATGTTTACAAACAATGGCCTGCTAAAGGAACACTCCAACCGCTATAAGACATGAGTACACTGTAGTATGATTGATGGTGCCAGAAATCTCCCGGTGCCTTCCAAGGGTAAGTAGTGAAGCCATTTGCTAAACAATTGGGAACTTAAGTGAGGTCATGATAACGCTGGTCACCACCATTGAGAGGGCATTGAGCTAAGACAGGTGGTGCAGGATTTACTTCATGGCTGAGAGTGATCAACTGACACTCTGGGCCAATGAGTTGGCCATGCATGGCGAGGTTTATCTCAAGAGTTAACGAAAACTCTGTGCATGAATTTCCAGTTCTCAATGAAAAAAGTGACCAATCAGTACCTGGCAGTTTCCAGGAAAATTGGCAAAATATTAACAAATGGTTTCACTACTTACAATAGTGCAGCATCACACACACAAAAAAATAACCACTACAGTACTGTACAGTGGTTATGGCGCTACTTTAAGTAAAACTTTGTGTTTTCTAATCTGCATTTGTTCCTAGTTGTTTTTTTTTTTAAATATATAATTAATCTGCATACCCAGAGACTTTCCATAGGCCATGAGCCCATAGACTAGGCACAATAACTCCAACCACCATAACCACTCTTGCCTTAAAGACTGGCCATGGTGTATAGTGTTTCTGATTGAGATACTGGCACTTGTATGCTGGATTCTATTTACAACACATTGACATGTGACTTTGAAAGCCATAAAAAAATAGAGAATTAGGTTTTTCTGACTAATAGCTATGCCATTGCCACTTGGGACCAATTACTGGTTGCCTGCTGGGTTCAAAGGCTTATACCTGTCTAGGACCCCACATTGGCATAATCTTTCTTAATCCCTGACCTGACTTTCTCACACTGGAGGAAGGGACGAGTCTGCACATTACAGAATTTATTAGAGAAGACTGGACTGGTTCTTATTTCAAAGTTGAGGGAGTACGTTTAGCTTCCAACCTGATATATCTTTCTGTATTTATGAGTAGCGGGAAAAATATATAATGTCCAGAAGTCGACCCCAAGTTAAGGAGGCCCATAACTCCTTCCTTGTCTTTTCCCCTACAAAAGCTAAGGTACTGTCTATGTAGTGTGTTGTATACTTGAAGTGCTTGAATGTCTATAAGTTCACATATGCCCAGTGCTGGGAGGTGAAC